ACTCTCTCAAACAAGGAACCTTATAAAACTAATGCTACGACAATACATCTCAGCATGAACTGCAACACTAGCATATCGACGAAGTATTATCCATTTTAGATGAATGAAACCCTCTCCTTACTTCTAAAGTGGATTAGAACCTCCCCATCCCAATTTGGCTCCCTTGCTCACATAGATCTAACCTAGATCTCTCAATACTAGGTATTTATACTTAGAAAATGACAATCTCTCAAAAGCTCTTACAATGCTACAGCGCATAAAGATACAAACAGTGAGCAAAACAACATTTAAACATAAAAACATTAAATCATCCATTAACAAAAAATAAAATCAACCAAAACAAATCCAACGCCAAATAAATTAGTTCATGGTGTGGATAAGTTCATCCAAGATCATTCTAGTTAAGTACAAGCCCAAATAAGATAGAAAAATAAAAGCACAAGGAGAAGAACACTCTCAACGAACTGTTGCCGTGACACTTAGCTCCACCGCCATGGACCGCCTTATCAAGCTAGCCTTTCTCAAAGCCCTAGCCTCTACCCCTTTGTAGCTCAGCTATGGAGGAAACCAAGAAAAATGAGGAAATGAATAAGGAAATGGAAGGTTGCCGAGCTGTTGCCTACTTGCTTAATTCACTTTTTTAAAAACTCCTTAAAAATGAGGTATCCTTATCTATTTATACTAAGGGAATCTCTAAGGTTTTATGCCAAAATTCCTTTTATACCCTAGGTCTCATTCCCTTCATGTGGATGGGAGGCTAGGCTGCCATGTGGTCCCAAAAATTGCAACAAGGGCAGTGAGTCATGTGTGGTTGGACAGCTTGGCAAAGATATTTTTTTGTTATTTTGTCTTTTTTACTCCAAAATCTGCCGTCCATATTTCGCTTCGACGAGTTTTTCTCCAGCATGCTACATAAATCATCCATCATTTGTTGTGGTACTTCTTTCTCCTGAATGCTACAGCAGACACATCTTCTCCTTAAGCTTTTGTCACCTGCACAACACCAAAAGAGCAAGACCTTTCCCTCAGCATCATCGGTTTTGACATAAAAACATGTTGCAGCAAAACTTTACCACCACATACAATTATATGACCCTAAATGCAACAAAATGCATGAAATGATCTTTTAAACAACCAATAACCTAAGTAAAAATGTACAAAATACAATCTTTTTACGGGGTTATCATTCATCCTATGGAACGATCCTGTTTGCACACTGTGTGATGTGGCAACACTTTTGTTTGTTGGTTTTATTACAGTAACTAAAGTTGATTGAGTTCGATATTATTTCGATCGACGTATTTTATCGAAGGGCTGTTGATGCAGACACTGATTTACCACTTGCTTCAAACGGAGAAAATTCCATTGTTCATGGAGATTGCTTCATGGCCTGTAATGGCTTCAACACTGGTGCTTTCTTCCATTAGGATAGCAATTCCGTTCTCGATAATTGAATATTTCATAGGGTTCATCGAGTTGCCTCTCTCGTTTTTTGGCTTATTGGTTGAAAATGGCTTTAGATAATCACGAATCAATTTACCTTAGTAGTTAAATGAATCGTTGTTGTTTCTAGAGATCATAGGTTTGAACACCAGCGACTGTAGCAGGGTGATTGAGCATTCATTGTAAAATGATTGAGAGTATTAGATACATATTTCATTCTTAAAGAAATACATGGCATTGTAGGAAGAAATTTGAGTAAACTAAACATTAGGTGTGGTTTTGAAAAAAATAAAATTTATGTACCAAAACAAAATAAAAGTAATAATTTAAGTACTACACTTGGAGTTTACCCAAGAAATTTTTGTTCATAGTACACATTACACACAGAAAGTACATGCTTTCCCATTGTTTTGACTCTAATATTTTCAGATCTTTTATTACCTTTGAAACAGCTAAACGTCATCGTTTTAAACATCATTATAACATGATTTGGACACGCTGCTATTGTTTTACGTTTCAGCGACCAATAAGATGCAATGATATTAACGGGGGCTTGGGTAAATTACGTGTTTAGTATTTAAACTATTAGTTTTATTCTATTTTAGTATCTAAACTTTTAATTTTTTTTAAACTATTCCTAAAGTTTAGTTTTTGTTTCATTTTAATACCCCGCCGTTAAAAACATTAGTTTTTGTTTTATTTTAGTACACCGTTCAAAATTTAACGTTAAGTTTTGAAAAATTGAAAGTTTAGGTACTAAAACAGACCAAAACTAATGTTTAGGTACTAAATAGTTAATTTAAAGTAAATGATTGTTAAAATTTTGGATCGAGTTGGGTATGGATTTTATCTTCAAAGGTGGTTAGGATTTTGGGTGAGTGAAGACACTCTATCTGGATCAGATCGAGTCAAGTTTATGATGAATGGTGTATTTTTATTGAGTCAGGTCAGTTTAATTGAAAATTCGACCCAACTCGATCTATGTCCATCCTAATAAGGATAATATAGTTAAATATAATTAAATATAATGGTTTAAGAACCTAATTTGACCAAAAAGTAGTTTAAGTACCAAAAAGGAAAAAGAAAAATAGTTTAAGTATTTATTTTTACTTTAAGCTTTTTTTAATACTTTTTAATAATAATATAATTTCGTACTCTTGAAATTTTATAATTTCACATCTACCAGGGATGGAGACACATTATAGGCGGGATAGGCAATGCCCTAACTTTAATGGTCAAATTACATTTTAGACGACTGATAGTTTTGATATTATTATAATTAAGCTTTTGTCTCTCCTCAATTTTTTTTATAATATTTTTTATGACATCAACCGTTTTAAAATTGATAGAAGAAATCATGGCCTCACTTTATTTGGTTTAATTATTTTTTTAAGATATTTAAATTTTAAATTTAATGTAATTAAACCTTTCAATCGTCGTTTTTTCTCTCATAAATTTCTACCATAACTTTTAAAATTTACACCTTTGAATTCCCATCTAGAACTGGTTCCACTTTCCACACTTAATCTCATTTCCCCATGGAAAACCTCGAATTAGGGTTTTTAGGAGTTTTGGAAAGTGTCTTGATTTATCGTAGCAAAAGCTTTTATTTTGGAGAAATTGCTCGAACATGAATCTTAAATACATAAAAAATTTATATTGTATTTTATTTTCGAGTTGTTCGCGAGCTTCTCGAGTCGAGCATCAAGTTGCTCGTTTCGGTATTAAGAATTCGAGTCGTTCTTGAATCGAGTCCATTCAAGTCGAGTATTTATCGAGGTTTAACCGAATTGATCTCGAATAGATCACGATATGTCTCGTCTCGTTTACCGCCATAAAAACAAGACGCATGGAGCGAACATTTGGTTGAAAAAATGAGTTAAAAATACATACGTAATTGAGCAACACCATGAAACAAAAGCATTGGATTCATTCCATGAATAATACAACAAAATCTTACCACGTTTTTTTTTCAGGCATAATGCCAAAAATAGTCCTCAACTTTTACTGAAATAGTAATTTTAGCTCTTATTTTTTTCTTTAGAATATTTTGGCCCCAACGTTTCACTTTGGAGCAAAATGCTCCCTCTATAGATGAAAATCATTAGTTAACACAATATTATTACTCTAGGCTTGCCTTTTTCTTTTAAAATGAAACGTTGCGGCCAAAATGCTTCCAAAAAATATATTAGGGGGGCAAAATAACTATTTTAGTAAATGTTGGGGGACTAATTTTGGCATTATTCATTTTCCTTTTTTTATTATTATAGAGACAAGAGAGACGTAGGGGAGATGATGATACTGCTCCATGGAATCAGGATGTTTTCTGGAACTCCAATAGTTGTGGTCATCCATAAGGAGACTTCCCCACGTGCGCTCTCTTCCATTCAATTTTATATTAATATTCAGAAACATAAATATGACGCTAATACGAATTAAGTAATTTCAGTGGTTAAAAGATTTATTTTTATCTTTTGAAGTGTCAATTCTCATGGATTTTTCTGAAGGATGTAGGAAGCACTCAAATCACCAGGAAAATCAAGGTGTTTGTCCTTGTTGTCTTAGAGAGAGATTATCTCATCTTACTTGTGTCCCACGCAAATAAGCTTCTTCACTGTATTTCTGTCATGTTGACTCGCCTTCGTCTTCGAACTTCGCCTCTCCGGTTCAACGTCGTGAGGGTGATGGGAATCAAGGGGATGTCCTTGTCTTTTTCCAGGGTGAAGGTTGGTAATGGTAACTGTTTGAAGAAGAGTAGATCGATTGCTTTCGCTCCAAGAAACTTGGAGGAGGAGGAGGAGGAGGTTAAAAAGGAGAAAAAGAGGAAAGGGTTTTGGTCAAAGTGGGTACATTTCAAGGAGAAGAAGGATGTGCTGACGCATTCAACAAGTATGAGATTAATTATTCCAGGAGTGAAGTAGGATTCAGTTTTAATAAAATTCCTCATTTTCCTCTCACCCCTGTCTATGCATCACATCCTTCAAAATGTGTGCAGTAAATGAACAGAGTGTTTGATGAATTGTTTGTTAATCGTTTGTATAAAATTCGTTTATGTTCATTTATTAAGTTAAATAAATTACTACAAACAAATCTTTTATGTTCATTTAATAAATGAACGAACACAATATAGATTTGTTCGATTCGTTTATGTTCACAAATAAACTTGTTTATCGACTCATTTATATTCACAAACAAACTCGTTTATAAGCTCGTTTACCTGCCTCGCTTTTTTTCTTTTATTATATTTTTTTGTATTTTAAGTATTGATGGATGTACTAAATTAAACATAGGATAAACTTTAGAGTTTAAAATGTGAAGTTTAAAGAATTTAAAGACTAGTGTCATAATTTCACTATTTCTGAACATGTAGACAAACATGTTAGCAAATGTTAAATGTGTTTGCAAACGCTAAAAAGGTCGAACACCACCGCCTTAAAAAACAAACAACCACAACCACAATATTAACAATTTAAACGAACACAAATTAAACATGAACACCCTAAAAAAATTAACAAACAAATACAAACACAACGTTATTCATTTAAACCCGGTTCATTTACACCCCATCTAGAATTGTACTATTATATCACGTGAAAAGATCAGTCTACATGTTCAATTCAAATGACAAAATTAGCTAGAAATCATATGGGAAATTATTTCCCCCTCCCCCTATTGTGAAAATTCAATGGGCCATTTGATCTGTACATTCCGTATCACAGTTTACACAACACCAAGTACATTTTTTTTCCTGTGGAACCCTTGATCTTGGCTTCTGTATCAGTTCTCGTTCTCATCGCTGTCGCCTACAGACTGTCGTTTCAATCGCTGGAATATCTCATCTAGGGACTCGGATGAGCCGACAGAGGGAATGAGTTTGGCTTCCTGATTCTGGCGTGTATTGAGAAACTTTCTGGCCTCTATATTTGCTTTAAAACTTTGAAATCCGGATTTCATTGACCTCCATGTTGAGGCCAATCCCTTTTGGCTACCGGAATTTGAGTCGCTTGCTTCAAGCAGTGAGACCTTAGCAGAGGTTATGTTACTCTCCGTTGGTTTCGGATTCGACATTTGTCGACCCAGTTCTCTCATGGCTGCGTACTTGCTGCTGATGGCTTCTCTGCTTGAGGCATATTTACGGGTCTCTTCTTTCATAGGCCTTGAGGGAGAATCCTTCACACCACCGGCGGCCGAAGTGGTAGCTGCCTTCATTTCTCCAACAGTCCTATCCTGAGCATTTTACATAAGTTAGAAAATGAACATAACCATAGGCTTTAGGTGAAAAAGAAAACATTTTGCAGAGTAGAAAGAAGAGGGATTATAATTCATGAGATCTTTGATTAGTTGCACTATAAAAAGACTGCATATATATTTTAAGGGTGATTACATACTGTACTATTGTTGCCATGCTCGATATCGCCGCCATTAAAATTTCTCGCCAATGGAATTACTTGTTCGCCAACCTGGCATCCTTGCTCAAGCCAAGATCGCTCTGTAAAGAGTAAAAAAAAATTATCAACTCCTGGTCATGTATCTAAATAATTCTTAGCAAGGAATTTAACCATGATAAAGATTGGATCTCTGCATAATTCGCGAATCACTGCTGCTCCCCTCGTTATAATACTTGTCATTCCAAACCATATACATATTGTCATCACCAAACTGAGACCGGCAGTAATTATGGAAAATTCTTACATGACAGCCCCTCATCTCTTGAAGGAGTCACGGACACATCTATGCCGTTGATTTCATCAAGAAATTCGCAACCAGCTATGCAAGTGATAAATAAAACAACACTAAAAATTAGACTATTGCAACCTTAATTAGTTATTTTACTATTGCAACCTTAACAGGTAAAGCACGATCACTAACTATAATAACAGGTCCTATCATGCAAATGTCGAACACACTTCTTAAATTGTGCATGTCCAACCTGTGAAAGACTAGAAAAGTTAAAAGAGTTTATTTACAGTGATTACTAGTTAGAATAACGGAGTATTGGCATCCTTACCCTTTTGCAGGATAATTAATCCCGAGGGATCGAACCCATCCACATCATCTGCCTCAGTTTGAAATCTCAGTCTCTTCCAGCTCCCGAAGAAACCAACTACGCGATTAAAGAAATTGCCAGCAACTAACAAGGTGTAAAAAACCATAATAATTGGATAAATATTGTTGAACCCTTCTCCAAAGAAAGGTACAGCATCATCAATGTTCCCCATTCGCTGCAAGGAGAAGTTTAAAGATTATCGTCAAAAACCATGAAGTGGAAGAAAAAGAATGGAACACGTGTCTAGTTCGATAACAAGGCAGCAAAGTAAAAAATAAAATATAAACATTAAAAAATGGACCAATTATGCTACAGTGCAATATATTGTGTTTGTGAAATTTTGGGGACTGGAGGTTGAAACAAGTTTCAGAATTCAGATCAGACAAAAAATTCCCAAGTTATATGACAGCTAACCAACCAAAAAAGATAGTGGGAACCAAAAGCTGCTTTACTAAAAAGATATTAATGTTACGTGAAAGCATCCTGATTTCTTAACAGAAAATCCAAATACCACAAGATAACTGTCCACTCAAGAGGTCACTGAAAAGCCAAAGCAGCTTTTCTTCTATTTTTTTGGTGGCTAATAGTGAGACACCAAATTAGCACATCAAACCAGACACTAAACAATAGTAGCATTTTCACCTTACAAACCAAAAACTGTAACATTTAGAAACAAATAAAGATAATAATTTTTTTTTCTCATGACTGATAACAGTGACAACCAGCACTAAGTACACATAGGAACAGTATATTATATACCCCCTCTAAGCCAAAAAGGATCAACATTTCGAAACAGATTAAGAATAATTGCTGCCTTATTCCAATAACTTTGTCCATTACAAATGATACGTGAAATGCCAATCTAGTCATCAACACGACCAAGCCATATTTATCTTTCTTGCAATTTCCATAAGCACTGAAATCACTGCGTGTAATGTTTGACAGCTGAAGAATGAAGTAAAATAATTACCATTTCAAATATGGTCTTTTTACCATGAAGGCTAATGAGATTGAGAAAGTTGTAAGAAATTGGGGGAGCATATCGAGCAACCATCCTAGAAAACATGTTTATCATTATTTTCATTACCAAAATGAAAATAAACAAATTAATTAATTAAAAGGCAAAAAACGAAAGTCAAAAACAATAGATCTCCAAGGTAAACTTACGAGCATATCATGAGCAAGCTGACTGAGCTAGTTTGCCGTGGTGTTAATGAGTAAAACATTAACATTCCAACCTTGAACAAGGAATAGTATGTGCAGATGCACATATACATCAAAGGTACAAAAGCAAAGGCCTGGAAGAAAAGGTAATCAGCATAAAAGTCGGGGAAAAAAGAGAGGATGGTCCAGAAGAGAGCACAAAAGATGAGATCTCAATGGCATTAGTTATCAACTACATGCAACAGTGAGGCAATTTTGAAGTGTAAACATGCACAAGGCAAGAAAGAATATAACTACAGAATTGCCAAATTGAAGATTTCCAAGACCTAATTTCTATCCCAGATTCCCAATCAAGTAATTGAATCAAGATTACAGAATCTCTATGAAATTGCACGAGTTGAATCTCTTCACAGGAGAAAAATGCAAAAGTTTTACCTGTACAAGCACCTCATCCTTCTTTACGGAATTTATAAGGATAGAGAAAAGAGAGAGGTCAACTCCTCTAGGTAAAAGTGTAGCCTCAGCTAAAAGAATTGCTGAGGAAATGATGCCAAGTATAACAGCCAAGACCTTCTTTAGTTGTTTCCATAAGATGCATCGCCAAATAAATTCTGCAAAAGAACAATCATTTGTGTTAAAAACTATTATAATAAAACTTTTGCTCATGGATAGAAAAGGATTATATCCATCCCTCAAGGAACCTACACACATCCAAGAACCATACAAAACACTGCATTCTTTCAGAATACTGCCAATACTTATGAACTGAATATAACACATCCATATAATCCAAATCAAACGGGAAGATAATATGAAGTGTTGATTTCAAATGATGTCTCCAGCAACTCTTCTTAGAGAAACTAGGCGAAGTAAAAGAACAAAAGGTTTTAGGGTCTCCCAAAGAACGAAACAAGAGTAAAGAATCATGAAACAAGATATACAGTTTGTGCAACACAAAGTCAATAGAGGTCTACATACCTATTGTATCTAAGAGGGTTCCTATCTTCCCAGAGCGACCAGGTCTGAAACTTGATACATATTTCCTGAAACGACATCAAATATGAACATTAATGATACAGGAAAAGCAACCAGAATGTCATAAGACTAATATAGACAGAAGAAAACAAGGTTAGAAGAAAACCATCCGGTTGAACTACGACGCTCGTAATTTTTTATTGTATCTTCAAGCTGAAGTGCCTCTGAGACATAAGTCATATACTCACTGCAAAACCAACCATGTTTCAGATACGAAGAAGCAAAAGTTTTGAATACAAGGTCAGATTGAAAGTTTATATGCACCCTATTCAAATCTAGGAATGAAGAAACGTAGTTACTTACACCCATAGGACATCATTAAAATTATTACAAAACCAGAGCATTAAAATAACAACTTTCCTCTATCTAAAAAAAAACCATTTTCCAGAACATATAAAGCAGTTTGAAGATGGTAAACAACTTGGATCAAGTGGAATTGAAAGTGTAAAATTGGCAATCAGTTTACCTTTTGTAGCGATAATATTCTTCACGAGCTAGCCTAAGATGACGTCTGAGCGTTGCCATTGATTTCTCATCTGAATCATAGTCCATATCATTTTCTCCCAACCGACCACCTTGTGGCTTAAAAGAAGGGTCTTCCCTAAACTGGAGAATATATGAAGCATACAATGTCATGCACTATTCCATAAAAAGGATCCTTGTTCATAAAAAAATCTTGCAAATAAACACAGAAAATACCATTTGAGCCAACATATTATCAACGACATCCATGTATGGCCTCAAAGGATCACGCTTGGACATCTGGTTGGATGTTGCTTGGGCAACCTGATAAAGCAAATGGGTAGTTAGACAAAACAATCCATTACAATTAACATAAAACTAGCTGAACAACGCCATGGATGAAAACACGATATAAATATAAATTGCTAAACTGGTCACAAATAGCAAGTGGAAACACAAAAGCATTCACTTGCAAAAATGCCAAAATGTAAAAATGAACAAATACATGCGTGTTCATGCCTACATGCAAGCATGTGACTAAGAATGAATGACAGAGAGGTCTTGACATGCATATGAGCCTAAAAATAGCTGAATAATTTTTGGCCATGGAGGAAAAAACGAGATAAAAATAAATTGCTAACTGCTAACAAACTGATTGCTAATAGCATGTGGAATCTCCAAAGTATTCACTTGCACAAATGTAAAAATGAACAAATGTGTGTGTGATCATTCCTATATGCACGCATGTGACTAAGAATGAATGAAAGTGAGGTCTTGACATGCATATGAGCCTCTACAAACACCATTATTCTACTAGGATAGACTTGTATATGCACAGGATCATTTTTATGAAAGTGGGTGTGAAGATGAGAAAGAATTTACAAAAAATAATGGGGATAGCAAATACCACAATAGCATTTGAAAGCTCCTGATGAGCTTCATCAAGCTTCACAGCCATTTTGGCAATTTTATGTGTGAGAACTTTTTGGCGGGTTGTCCAATCTGCATTTCTCCAAAGGGTCTTCGGAATTTCACTCAAGCCAAAGCCAAGAAGAAATGCTCCCGTAACTAGCCCAAACGTATTGGACAAGGCCATAGCTAAACCAAGGATACCACCACTCCTGACACGATAAAGTTATCAAGTAACAAGTTATAAGAACAATGTGTCAGTTGGCATACAAGAAAAATCTTTTCTGTCCATTGTTCTACACTTCGCAGAACCCATAATTTGGAAAGCATCTTCATGTAACATACATATTTGATCCATAAAAGCACATAGGATACAAACAGAGAGGCAAGAGATGCCAGATACTTAAGAGATGATGTAAGAACTTGAAACAACTTCCAGTATAATCTTAATCTTTATAAGACAATCAAGGTCGTATCAGATACTATAGCCTATTATAAAACAAAAGAAAATCAGTGATTTATAAAGAAAGAATAATGTACCAGTTCCTGTTCATTGTGATGAGGAGAATAAGTCCCACAAGGCCAATAGAACCCACGACTGAATAGAAAACTAAGTTGACATGCACACTAGTCTTCAATCTTTCAGTCATAGAGAAGTCTCCAGCATCTTCAAAACCCTGAATAAGGGGCACCACAGCCCTGCTTAGAGATAACATAATTAATTATATGAGGAAATGCACAACAATCTAGAAAACCAACAGCAAGAATCATCTCTACTTGCAACAAAAACATCCCGAAACAATAACACAATGGACAGTTCAACAAAAGGTACAAGTACAACATTAACTCATTCATTTCAAACCCACCTGAAGAACCGGCAGCAAAGCAACGACAATATGAACACAGACTTTAGCTTTTTGACATTCAGAGGAGAACAAAAGGTAAATAAATCTAAGAAACACATCCATCCCAAAGAATGAGATTGCCAAATTTATAGAAAATTTAACCAAATGTGATTCTAAAGAAACTAATCTAGAATACATTAAATTTTCATTTCCGCAAGAATTTCAGTTCCAAAAATGATAGAAGTTAAACGTACCAGGTAAGAAGAAAGGTACCCCAATAAGACCAGCTCCAAAAGAACGAAATTCCTCCATTTTCATTAGCATTTTCCGGCTTCGATATCGTCTGCACAAAAATTAACAGAAAAGTTTCGAATTCCGGTAACCCAATCTTACCCATAAGAAAGAAAGACAAAACGCGATTAATTAAGATAAACCAAAATTTAAAATGGAATTATGAAAAGAAAAAGGATTCACCGTCCAAATATCGGCGGGCACCAGAATGATGATGGAGAGGGAACAGAACCAAGTATATCCCACGGTGAAGAGGACGTAACGAGGGACATCGGGGCCGGCGAAGTACCTCAAGGTGAAAACAACCATGCCTAGGGTTAAAGGCAACGAGATCAGGTAAAATACCCACATCTCTCCTTGCCTTTAAATTCCGATCGTTGAGGATCTCCGATGAGTCGCTTGTGGTTTGGGGTTTGTCTTGAAAGGGAAATTGAAGAAGAAACACTCAAACGCTAAAAAACTAAAGATTGTTCTTCATTTGTTAAACCGTTAATTCAAAGTCACCGTGTTTTAACGCTTGACAGCTCCTTTCCAAATTTGTAGGTTAAAGTACACAAATGGTCCCTCGATTATAGAGTACTATTTTATTAAGTCTCTTAATTATTAAAAGTTTTAAAATGATCCTTTGACTATAGAGTGGTGCTTTGTTGAGTCCATTAACTATCGAAAGTTACAAAATGGTCACCATACAGTTCATTATATTTCAAATTCATCATTTTTGTTAAAAAATTGACGATTGTCTAAGTTGGACACTAACATGATGGCTGGAATGTGATAGTCATTTGAGATTCTAGGATTAGATTTTATCATATCATAGTGAATAAGTTAACGTTCAACTCAGAATACCATAATTTTTTAAGGGAAAATGATGAGTTTGAAATATAATGAATAGTCAAGTGATCATTTTGTAACTTTTGATAGTCGACGGGCTCAACAAAACAACACTCTATAGTTGGAGGATCATTTTATAATTTTTAATAGTTGAAGGATTTAATAAATTAATACCCTATAGTCGAGGACCATTTATGTACTTTACCCTTTTTTATTAATATTTTATTTTGGTTCTCTTTTCTTTCTCGATTGGTTGGGTTATGGTTTCATCTTTGAAATTTGTAATTGTTTATTAAAGGGTCATTTTAGAATTTGGTTTTTTTATATAGAAAGTCGCTAGTTTTGTTAAAAATAGAAAATATCAAAAATTACAATGAAGATTTACAAGCATAATCGTAAACCTAAAATATAATCATGACATTTTTCTATTACCATTGAGATAAAAACTAGCCACCTAGATCGCATAAGGACCAAAGAAAGAAAAGGTTATAAAACCTAACCAAAAACTCGAATAAAATAAATATACGAACAAATCTGACTCCATCAGTAAACTAACCACAAAAGGGACGAAGATACTGAAAGACCATCGATAAATCGCAAGTCAGAGTCAAGCGACGTGAGAAAGCTATCCACGAAAGCAAAACGAGTATCCAAATCAATTCGAGGGTCCAAAACAGACAAAATAATCATGATAACAAATAAGCGTCATCTTGATCAGTCGGGGCGATGTCAAATCCAACCCTGAGGAAAAAGATAAATAAAAACAACTGTAAAAAATTGTAAACAACGACAAAAAATCGTAAGCTACCAAAAGGTAGAGGAAAACATGCCACAAAGGCAGAGATAAGTGTGTCATAAAGGAAGAGAACATATCACAAAGACATAATTATTCTTATTAAAAAACTAAAAAAAAATATGTTGAAAACATTTTGATATTTCGATATAACAAATTAAGTTAAATGAATTTTAAGATTTTCTAAATGATTTTCTAAGTATATTCGATAGAATTATTCGAATATCAAAACATTACTCCAAATCTTTCAAAGATCATTTTTAATCCTTACTCAAAGTGTAAAATTAAGTTTTAATCTTAAAACAATTTCAAAATAATTTTACAAAGTATTTCGAACCATTTCAATGCCAAAAATTCCAGATTGCTCAGAGGGAACCGATTCCCCCCTGAATGGTTTGGCTCCGAGAATTCCAGTATGCTCGGAGGGAACCGATTCCCCCCTAGGGGTACCGATTCCCCCCTTGTATAACGGTCGAAATATTTGAATTTTACACTTAGGGAACCGATTCCCCATAGGGGGTACCGATTTCCCTCACGCTCCAAACTGTTTTATTAATTGTTTTCACACTAAAACGACTATATTATTTTCTCTAATTATCCCCAACGTTCAGAAGTGATTCAAGGTGTATTTAAGCAAGCTTAGAAGCCATTGATCAAAAAAAAGAAACATCAAGCAATTAGAATCAAGAGAGAATCAAAGAGAAAGCATCAAACCTCAAGTTTGAGCATTTCAAGCCTATTTTTCATTCAATATTCATTTTGCTTTCAAGAACACTTATTGTGCTCAATTGTATTTATTCTTGAGTGTTCTTTCTTTGTTCTAGAATTGTGCAAACATATTTGCCTTGTGAGGTTTTTCTTGTAAGTTTGCAAATTTGTATTCTCTTTGAGAAAAGAGTGTTCTCAAGAATTGGGGTATATTCTTGAGGGAGTTGTAAGGTTATCTCTTTGGCCTCAAAAGAAAGAAATTAGTGAATTTGTTGGAAAATCCTTAGTGTGGATAGCTAAGGTAGTAGACGTAGACTTTGGTTGATAAAGTCGAACCACTCTAAATCGCTGTGCAATTTCTTTCAATTTTCTGCAAAAGCTTCCACCAAAATTTTTATTGCCAATTCACCCCCTCTTAGTCGATTCAGTAAACCGATTAACTCAACAATTGGCATCAGAGCCTACCTCATTTGAAGGTTTAATTGCCTCTTGAGTCGATTCGGGAAGAGTTATATCGATAATCAAAGTCATCAATGGCCTCCGCTTCAAACTTCGACTCCGGTCTCGACTCGATGCCCGTCAACAAGCCTCCTTTCTTCAATGGAGCTAACTATGCCTATTGAAAGAATATAATGATGTACTTCATTCAAGCAAGTGACATGGGAGCATGGAATGCTGTAGAAGAAGGATACATCAAACCTCTCACTCATCCAAGGTTGTGGAGTGAAGGAGAGACAAGAATGTTCCAGCTCAACTCCAAAGCCATCCATATCATTTTTTGTGCTCTTGGACCAGATGAATACGGAAGAGTTTCATCGTGTACAACCGCCAAAGAAATATGGGACAAACTTCAAGTCACTCATGAAGGTACCGATGAGGTAAAGAAATCTAAAATTAGTATTCTAACGCATAGCTATGAAAATTTTAGGATGAAACCAAATGAAGATATCAAAGCTATGACGGATAGATTTTCAACGATTGTCAATGGTCTCAAATCATATGGAGAGATCATTTCAAATGAAAATCTTGTGAGGAAGTTAGTATACTCCCTCCCAAAATCGTGACAATCAAAGAAGACGGCAATCATCGAGTCTAAGGACTTAACGTCCTTAACTCTTGAAGAGCTAATTGGGTCACTCCTCACTCATGAAATGATGCTCGAAGATGAGGTGGACCTCGACAAAATTGACGAGACACCAAAGGAGAAGGAGAAGAAGAAAAACATTGGAGTTGCTCTCAAATCCACAAAAGATGAGAGTGATTTGAATAACGATGACGAGGAAATGGCATTGTTTGCAAAACGGTTCAGAAAAATGATGAGACCTTATCAAGGAAGAAAATTCAAACGAAATGAAGGCCTCAAAAATGAACCGAAAGAGAATGACCCAATCATTTGCTACGAATGCAAAAAGCCAGGGCATGTCAAATATGATTGCCCACAATTGAAGAAAAAGGGTCAATAAAAGAATAAGCACAAGGCTCATGTGGCTACATGGAGCGATGAAGAAAGTTCCGATGAAGAGGAACAAGAAGTAGTTAACTTGTGCTTGATGGCATTTGGGGAAGATTCTAAGGTAACCTCTAACTCATCCGATTTTGATGATTTATCCTATGATGAGTTATTAGAGAAATAATGGGTTGGCTTCGGATTATGAGAAATTATTTTTAAAATATAAAAATGATGTTTTAAAATTAAAAAATGAAAACAAACTCATATCCAAAACCAATAACAATCTTGAAAGTAAAATCAAAGATTTACAAATCAAACTAGAAGAGTTTGAAAAGAAAAATTTAGATTTGCAAAATTTACTTTCAAAGATCAATGATGATCATCAAAAGAAAATTGATGATCTTAAAACTTCTTTTGATAAAGTTGGAACAAAACATTTTGAAAAATGTGGAAATTCAAAATCCAACTTTGTTAGAAAAAGTTTTAGAAACTACAATCATAGAGGTCCCCAAAGAACCTCTAATGGAAAAATCGTTAGAAGTATGTGGATTCCTAAAGAACTCATTACTACTAAAGATAAAAATATCCTACACAAATGGATACCTAAGGGGACTAGGATTTTGGAAACTAATGAATATGGACCCAAAAGAATTTGGGTACCAAAATCAAAAATTAATCTATGTTTATAGGGAAAGGAGCATTGCTACAAGGCACGGGAAACAAATTCAAATTCATGGTACCTTGATAGTGGATGCTCAAGACACATGACCAGAGACAAAAGCCTGTTCATTGAGCTTAACGTCAAAAATGGAGGAGAAGTGACTTTTGGAGACAATTCAAAAGGTCACATTGAAGGTATTGGTACAATAGGTAATACCTCTTCCATACAAATTAAAAATATTTTATATGTGAATGGATTAAAGCATAATCTATTGAGTATTAGTCAATTATACGATAAAGGTTTCAATGTCTTATTTGAAATTAATGGTTGTAAAGTCATTGACATTGCATCTAATCGGATTATGCTTGTTGGTCATAAAATAGGAAACATATACATGGTGCATTTAGATTCTTTTGATATGACTAATTTATGCCTAGTTGCTAAGGATGAACATGATTGTTGGTTATGGCATAGGAGACTAGGACATGCTAGTATGAGTGTTTTGCAACGGTTAATTCAAGGAGACCTAGTAAGAGGGTTGCCTAAGCTTAAATTTGATAATGATAAAATCTGTGATGCTTGTGCTAAAGGAAAACAAAAACGAGTTTCTTTTAAATCCATTAATGATGTATCAACTAGTAGAGTTTTACAATTGATCCATTTAGATCTTTTTGGGGCCAACTAGAACTACTAGCTTGGGTGGAAAACAATATGCATTTGTCTTGGTAGATGACTATTCTAGATATACTTGGGTTCTATTTTTAAATACTAAAGATGAAGCATTAGAACAATTCATCACGTTTTCAAAAGTAATCCAAAATGAAAAAGGTTACTCTATAACTAGTGTTAGGAGTGATCATGGAACTGAATTTGAAAATCTTGGATTTATTGAATTTTGTAACTCTAACGGTATTAGCCATAATTTTTCAGCACCTAGAACCCCTCAACAAAATGGAGTTGTTGAGAGGAAAAATCAAACTTTAGAAGAAATGGCTAGAACCATGCTTTGTGAAAATAAT